CACTTAGAATTAATGTCGAAACAATGCCTGGTTATAAATGCCATGCTGGTACATATTTATCTCTACGCAGTCTTGAAGGAATAACGATGGAATCAATTTTTCATTTAAAGAAACTTAATTGCCATAACAGTTAGTCTTATAGTTACAGGCGGGCAATGAAACGGGTATTTATTGGCGAGTATGTATAAAGGGGTGTCACGCCTTCAAAAGCTCTGATTATCTTTAATTCTGAGATAAATTGACAACTTTTATTAAACGCTGCACCACTTGGCAGCATTAGAAAAGAAACAACAAACACAGATGCATCACATTGGTCTACTTTTACAAAACATCTTATGACTTTTCATATGATATCACAATACATTTCCAAATTGGACACACATTTATTTGATAACATGTGTATACAACCATCGACAATTATAGGTGTAACGGACAAGGAAAAGGTCTGAAACGCATAGGGGTATGTTGTACTCATGTCCATCAAGTGCCACCAATATGTTCTGGAATTTGCTACACTCTTGGGTCAAAGCCTGGGTCACCTCCTGCCAATTGGTGCTGGATTTCTTATTTCATCTGCCTTTGTCGATTTGTCTTTTATACAGCTTTCTATTTTTAATAGCTTTTACATGGCTCTAACATGGTTTTTCCATGAATTCAATGTTGGTGGATGGAATTCCTCTCCGGAAAGGAAGTGAGTAGGATTGTACTGTGGCGTTGTAGGCGGGGCGTGCTCTGGAGGAGTCCTTACCAAGTGCCGTTGCCGTTGACATTATATAGTTCCGCATTAGGCAGCATTGCTGCCCACAGCAACGAGTGCCCTGGATATTCTATGAAAGCAAGCGTTGTCCAACAAGACAACATTCTCTTTCACGGCCATCACTAGGGTACACTTCGAGTTTTGACTTATCGACAAACACTGTATGATTCCAATGTTCCACTGTAAGGTTCCGGTTGTACTTGCATAACCGAACGCATTCTTTTACTTTGGCGAACTCCCTGTCGTTAAGTGAACTTTAGTTTCTTGGTCATTCTTCTAACGCTTTATCCATGTCGAAGTAATCAACAGTTTGACCGTATCTCTGGAAATACGGGCCAAATTTTGTTCGCGTAGTTCTGCGTCAGTGACTATGGCAGAGTTTCCCCTTTTCAAGTTGTTTAAAGCACAGCTGTTTCAAACAACACAACACACAGCCAATCCAGATGTTGTGTTGTAGGGTATACCTGTAATTTGACAAGGGGCTAAACTGTCGGTGGCAGTTCCCCTCCGGCGAACCTATCAGGCCAACTGGCGTATTGGATTTAGTAGTGACGGTTTATCCAAATGCGAACATATTTTGATAGACGCAACGCAATACGTGTATAATATATAAATGCACAGTTTTTCATTCCCACAGTGATGTTAAGCTTATAGATTATGGAAATGCTTATGTGTAATATCTCTCACAGTTTGAATTATGCTGATAACTTATTTCTTATTTAGCCATAAAGATTTAGCTCTGCTATTTAAACTATACACGAGCATGCCGTTACAAACTCCATTAGTTATTAGACCAGACTTTCACACAATTATCTTAATTTTGAAGGCCAGTGTGCGTTAGGTCCACTTAGATAATGAAAGCGACCGTTGTGTGTATAGAGACCAACATAAGTATGGGTCATCGAACATGGTTGCATAAAGAAAGCCTTTTAAGCTGGGGTAGGATTCCAGCGTATTGCAAGATGACTCCGACCATTTCTCATTAATTTTGAACAAAGCAGTGCTTACCTGGAGCGACATTCTAAGATGTAGGTAATTTCTACTTTTTTCCTATGCTTTCCTAGAAAAATGCCGCGTCACACATCACACAAGCCCTAGTCTATGTCTGAACCTTCTTGCATACAATAAAATATTGATATCGCTGGTTGTTGAATGATTATGGCCGTGATATTGTCAACCATGAAATTTATGCAAAATTTTGTTTCAGAAATGAATAAATAAACATGACACAATTGTTGCATTAGTTCAAATCAAAAATGACGTCACGTGTATTTGAGAAATAGTTAAACTTTTCCACTTGATCTCCACTTGGTGGGCTGATAATTTCTTAATTTCATAAAAATGCTGTAATTGAGGAAAATAAACTTTTTTCAACACGTATGAAATCGTGCTACAAATTTTAATGAATTGTAGAAATGAAAACTCCCTCTGACCAAATGATCATCATTCACTATGAGACACGTTTCTATTATATATATTTCTAATGTCACTTCACAAACTAAATCACACATTATACATAACAAACGTATAATTCAAGTGAATCCCACCGTCAATCAATACATGTACATTTATATCCTAGCATCCATATTATTTGGATTTCATATACGCAAATTTTGAATCGATATAGTTTAGATGATTGATATATACTGCTGTCAGAACCAGTTAGACAATGGTATGTTTAGATATAGGTCATGACTTTTTGACGTCCAAAAAATAATGCAAACGCTTTAGCTTGCAAATTAATGTTAACTATGCATCCAGGTTCTAAGGATCATAAGGTTAAAATCAAATTGATGAGGGAATTAGATTGGTTCAAGATACAATTTAAAGTCTATAGCAAGCTAAAAAGGTATTCGGGCATTGCACATCTTCCCAAAGTAACACAAAAGTTGTCAAATTCCCATACGAGTAATTGCTTGATAGTCGCCAACCAAAGTTGAAAGTATGTGCAATGTGTATGTGCGATGTGTCTATGCAAAGCTTTACGTGCCCATCAGGTTAAATTTATGTAAAGTCACATACAGTGTATGTTGAAACTAGGTAAAAGAGCATCCAAATAGCTGGATCTCGATTACTGTTATCCAAACATATTCCTGTACCTCATAAAACCACAATTTGATTAAGATCCCTAACAACGTCTATCTGGACAGTCTTATACCTATAGTTGATTCAATTGCAGAAGCTAAAAAAACAAAGAATTACAAAGGGGAAAACATCCACTCTGTTTTGAACATAAGACACCCATCTAAAAATTGAACACGAACCCGCCGATTTGACTTGTCACAAAGCTTTTCATTTAACTGTGGTTTGTGCATATTTAACGATTGGCAGTTGTTGTTAAGGAAACGCAAGGAAGCTCTATAAAGTTTTTGAGAATGGTTTCTTCTTTTATCCTCGTATTCATATAGAGACAAAGAGACATAGACACACGTTCGTCATTGATCCCATGGCTTCTGCAACTTGGCGGAAGGAAACGAAAGTGGTTGTTAAGACTATTTTTACAGCTAAGGCTAGAAGTAACTCGAAACGTGTGGCAGCCTGAGTGTGTTCTGGTCCTATGTATATATTAAATGTAATATGTATTTACTAGATATTTTGTGCATAAACATCTTCTATGACTAACAGCAAAAAAACTCTTGCCATTATACTTAATATAGTTTGTCATCAGCTGGAGTTCATAATTGTAAGATACATCGAGACAAAGATAAATGGAAGTTATTACGTTTTAATCAGTGTATTATGGTTGTACCGCATGAAACGGTGAGTAATATTTTCAGTACAATTTGCCCAATATCCGACATCCCACCATTACATAACGAACGTGTGTTAAGATACTTCATACTATATTACAACTTCATGGGATACTGGTAAGCATTACTACTTCATGATAGATTTATTGGTTAAAAAATAAGAACCCTCAGGCTACTTCCCGCTTTTTACCACTTCATGGGACATCTGTGTCCAAACATATGATAGTATAATCCATTCTTGCAGTTTTAGATATAATAGTAATTATTTTAATCATGGAAATTAATCTTTTTAGAGTGACACGCGACTTAATCAAGGCGATTGAAGTATACGATTATGTACCTTAACGGCTTCTTTTTTATCCTTATATTTATTCACCTAATAACCCAATCTCTGTATGATCCTCCCTTTCAGAAATCCTGGATCCATACCTTCATATGCCTGAATATTTTATAATTGCTCAGGACACACACACCCAACAGCACTTATCTTTATAAATAAATCCTTTCAGTCATGCATGTTTGTACATATAATCAAAACACGATTTTTTAAAAGAAATAAATATATAATATTATCTTTATCTAGGGCCTGCAATAGGGACTTTCTCACCATTATCCCATGAAGCTGCAGGCAATATCTCATTTGGAGATGAAGTCGCATTTTATCCTATAAAGTAGATTTGTCAGTAAAATAAGGACACTTATCCCTTGAAGTGGTATTATACCATGAAGTTTCTTAATATTATGTTGCATACCTGACGGGTGTGTTTGGATTAAGAATGACTTAATCCCACATGTTAAATAGCAAAGTGCACCTAAAATCGATATTTTTCTTTAAAGAAGGGTTATATTTTAGCCAATTTGTTTAACGAAGGGTTATATTTTAGCCAATTTTAATTATACTGAAGTATTCATAAGGAATGATTAAGTTGACTTTGGTGTTATCCCCACGTATCTTCCAGGTAGTTGCTTAAAAAATGGTTTTTCAACATTAGATGCATAATTTCACTTGTTTTATTATGTTAGCAGTATGGGTAGCTGATATATATATATGATACCATATGATCTATTGCGGCATAAGCTAGAAAAGCACGTGGGATCAGTTACTCAAACCTCATTGGCGGATTATTTCCGCACGTGTGATCATCGTGTTGTTCATCTCTGCGTCCTATTGTTATTTCAGAATCTCAGACCAAATGCGCAACAAGTCTTGAACTCGGAAGTGATTTTAGTACGTGGTTGCTACTTTGTGAACCCCGAGGAGGCTGGTACTTAAGATAGAACGACAACCAGGGGGCAAGCCAGAGTAATAAGTTCACGGCTTATGACAAACACTGGAAAGCAAGGAGTTCCGACACGTGTCGCCATGTCGCAGCAACATAGTCATGAAGGTGTGATGAACATGGACGTGTGTGCGACTGCATTTACCTTCGAATTTTCTCCTGGTGCAGGCCCCAATTCCAGCACAATGGTCGTCAGTGCTCCATTGGACCCAGCAGACTTTTCGGCTCTGATGGTGACTATAATGCTTAGTTTTATTGTGGGCATCATGGGCAATAGCTTAGCGCTAGGAGTTTTGTACAAAATGCGCTCTAATCATTCCGAAATGAGAAAATCTGTATTTTACGTCCTAGTGGAGGGACTGGTGTGGACAGACCTGCTTGGAATTCTCCTTACAGCCCCGATAACTATCATTACATACGTGATGTACCCAACAAAATGGCTGTGTGCTCATCCGCACATTTGTAAATTTGGAGCCTTTGCTGGAGCATTGTTTGGGATTGTGACTCCGTTGATCATATGCGCAATGGCAATTGAACGGTTATTTTCTATTAACTATCCATACACATTTTCAGTTTCGTTTACACAATCCAAGGCAAAACTTTCGTTAATAGCATGTTGGGGTGTTGGGCTATTTGTTGCATCCCTACCTTTGATGGGGTTTGGGAAGTACGAGTTGCAATATCCACACATGTGGTGTTTCCTGAACTGGCACGCAGAAACACCACTAGACACAGCCTATGCGCTGACTTACGCGTCTATCAACGTCCTGACTATGTTAACCCTTGTCGTGTCAAGCGTTACTGTGATAGTGACATTGCTAAAGATGCGCACCTATCGTCGATCAAGTGTAGGAAGCACACGGCAGTTTTCGATTTTAAAAAACCCTGATGTCGCTCAAAAACAGAGAGAGGTGGAGCTGCAAATGGTCTGGTTCCTAGTCGGGATAATGTTCGTGTACGTGGTATGCTGGTCCCCACTGATTGTAAGTATGAGCATAGTATTTATTTTGAAAATATTCATTAGTAACATCATATTAAAATGTTTGCTTGTGTAAATACTCCGGCCCAAAGCTGGGGTGATTGACCAACGTCGAACATCTTGCCACTGTTGAAACCAGTTTAACCCCATAGCGCCGGGAACCGCACATATGCGGTTCATTTTAAAAAGTCCTCAGTGCCGGGAACCGCATATACGCGGTTTCTGTGTTTACATGCTTGTACTGTCCCCTGTCTTTTGTAACAATTCATGCTTCTATCACAAAACTAACTTAATGTTAGTTTGTTGTTTACTACCGGCTTTTGAAAGACGTGTAGCGAGAATTAAATAATGAAAAAGCGGTTTATTTCAATCATTGTCGAGGCCCTACGAAGTCATAATGGCGGCGAGAAGTCAGCAGAAGTTATGGGTTGAGAAATGTTTTAGATTTGTTAGAAAATTCAGACTTCGGGAAGAGTCCTTGATAGATTTTGATACTCCGATAACTTCAAAGATGATGTAACTTTGCCGAGTATGAGTTGTCAGAGAGCAGATTCGGACGTGGGGCTTGATTTATGAAAAACGCTGATGATACTAACGGCAGTAACCAAGCAGACGACAATAGTAATTGGAATGGCTATATCGCTGATAAAATGACTGTAACCGTGGCAAGTCAGACTAAATGTTGCCTTGTGTGCTGCATCAACGTGTCTTTTCCTGCTTGTGTATAAATACAAATGTCATATGTTACGTTGAACTGCATCAAGATGTCTTTTCCTGCTTATGTCTAAGTACAAATGACATATGTTTACTTGTGTGTTACATCAACACGTCTTTTCCTGCTTGTGTATAAATACAGATGTAATATGTTTACTAGTGCACTGTATCAACATATCGTTTCCTGCTTGTGTATTACAAATGCCAAATGTACAAATGCCACGTTTACTTGTATTTTTATGATGCAATTTTTATTCACGAAAGTGTAATATTTGCTCATGATAATGTTTGTATTCTTGTACATGGTTTGAGTGCTAAACAAAATTTTATGAGTATCCTGGTTCAGTTGATTAAAAAAACTATGAAAAACTATCGTAAAAAGCACTAAATTTACAGTCTTTTTGTAATTATTAAAGTAATTAGGTGGAAGTCTTCTAGTCAGCTAGCCTGCCTGTATATTGTGCAACTCTCTGACGTGATGCAAGTTTTTAGGTACAGCACGCATCCCAGAAAATTTATTATATCTCAAAAACTAAATAAGATATCTTTCTGAAATTTTCTGACATTGTTTAAGATATATTTCAAATGTTTATGAGAAAATTTCAACAAATTATTTGGTAAAGTGAAAAAGAATGTGCATGCTGAAATTAAAGTTTTGTTTTTTACTTCTCTTCGAGAAAAGCAAGTCTCATATTTAAACTCCTGCTATTTCTACCTAAGTTAACAAATGTGAATAAAACTGATATGACTTTAAAGCTCACATTCTTGGCTTTCTAAAAATGTACATTTTATAGGTGTTTTCTAAAGTAGTGAATGCATTATCATTGATTAAATGAGGCCGCCTGAAAAATTGAATGCATCTGGGTAGATCGCTCAGGACCAAGGGCACTTTCTAGGTCAGATGCTGCCAGGCTCTATGGGGTTAAGGACTTAATTGAGGGAAGAGGATTAAATACTAAAATGTTAATATGGTCAAGCAAAAAAAATTATAAAAATAAGCCAAAAAAAAAAAAAAAAGAATCGAGAGGCGAGTTGATCTGCCATATTTAAATTAGTGTAATTTGGGAAAACGTTAAGTGCATGAAACATATTTCCATGGGGCTTTTTGGAAAGGTAGACCCAATTACTTTTGAAAAAGGATGACTCTTCCTAACTATCCCTGTGGTGTCTATTCGTAGTTTAATTAAATGATATTCTAAACCTATATATAACGTTTAACTAAACCTATAAATACAAACATACAATTTCCTCAAATACCCAATAATGCATCATATTCTCATCAACAGATGCTGAGTTAATATCCGATAGCATTTGCATAATACAAAACTGTCAACACAGAAACAACCGCATTTACAGTAACTGCAATTTTGGTTAATTGGATCTGGCAGAGAAGGTGACATTGATTAATATAGATCAACATACGTACAATTCTCTCTCTCTCTCTTTCTCAATGATTTTATTTAATTCCGCAACTTCTATCTATTATTTCAAATGAAGAACTTTATTGTAAACAAACGCACAACTATGTGAATGGTAATTAGTAAAAAATGTGACTCCGTTGATCATATGCGCGATGGCAATTGAGCGGCTATTTTCTATTAACTATCCATACACATTTTCAGTTTCGTTTACACAATCCAATTGTTTTCTTAGTTTCATTATTCTGGATAAGTCTCTAGTAATTAATAATGAATTTTTTTTTTCGTCATAACAACTACTAAAAATGTAATGGATACCCTTTCCTCTGGGGCATTGCAAAAAGGACAATTTTTGTGGGATGTACATTATACATGTTGTAACTTTATTATTAGTTCGGGCGCACTTATTCTAGCCACTGCTGCAAACTTTGAGAAGTATTATATTTTCAGTGGGATACTTTCACCATTCCGTGCATGCGCAGTTCTTCCTGAAACAGCATATCTTCATTCCTCATAGTTTTTAAACTTACCCGGTATTTTCCCCACTTAATTGGCATAAAAAATCAATTTCTAATAGGAATTACTAAATCTCAACAAAGCCTGTAGTCTATAGTAAATTTACATCTATTTTTGTCCTTGGCTGATTAAACGATTGGAACTTAAGTTAAAGAAACATAAGACATAAACAATGACCTTCGGTAGCAAAGGGACAATTCATCCTGAAAATCCATTTAATGTTCTTGTAAAGCAATATATACAGTATGCAACTAGGAGTACGATTTTCTCGTGCTGAAATATGTAACAATTCCCTGGAAAATCTTGAAGAGAGTGCAAAGCAAGCCTAATGAAAAACTACAAATAAATGGCCCTGTTCTCGCCTTTGTGAAAGATATATCATTGGAACTTATTATTTATTCTAAATTACCCAACACTTGTGATATGTGGCGCCACCTAAAATTAAATGACCGCCCCCTCCTGCCAAATTCGGTGCAGTTACCAACAACTGAGTGTTCGTTCTAGAGCATCAGATCCCGTTGGGATTTGAATATTGGGGCATTTTCTTCTTCATATTGGTATTCAACTAAGTATTATTGAGCTTTTGGCAGCATTATAGATATATCAGATACATTTCTGATGAAAAGGGCTATTATTTTATATTCAGTCTGTATTTGGGAAGACAGAATACCTGTCAAGTGGTACAAATGGGATATTAAACTCGGTACATGTGCCATACAAGCGAAAACGTCAGTGTACAATGTAACTACAACGTGAAATGGTCACTGATTTGAATGGAAACAATTTGCCTGGTTTTACTCTCAAGTTTGTGTAATTCAGTGCCAGTGGCACAAGGTTGTCTCATACACCTTTTTTTAAAAATCATATTGACGTATTGAAGCACGGCATCTGTTTGGATGAAACTATATGTTATATTAATATAATTTTATATCATATCTCTGTATGAAATAATAAAATTATACATAAAATTAACTTATTTTAGAGATAAAGAAACATCACGTCCCTTTCAAGTACGTTGGTAATCCCCCATGGCACCTATAAGATTCAACATTCTTAGACGTCACTGTTGAATAACAGTTTTATAGAAGCACATGTCTGCACCTGGTGTTATTCCAATTATTGTCACTGCAGGTAACCACACGTCCCTTCCCTGGGACAGTGGCTATCTCCCAGGGAAATTAAGACTACTTATCAAGATAATCGACCCCTTATTACTGAAGGGATTTGACTTACGTAATTGTTGCCACCCCTTTTAGAACACGTTCCTTGACACCTGCAAAAATATGCAACGGCTGCAAACATTGCAGATAACAACAGGAGTACGGCTATTTCTCTGTAACTTGGCCATGAGGGAGAAACAGTAGGTTATGAAGTAATTGAATGTCTGGCAAAGAACTTCCGACTTCATTCTCTGCTCTGAACGAAGTGTTGTGATGTGATGAAATCTAGGCAATCCAAATACCAGCTAATCTCAAGGGCATTTGAAAGCAAAACCGCAACAAAGAAAAAAACCTTCACTGCAGCGATTCCATTTAAAAATTGCTTTAAGGGTGAATTGATAGCTCTTTTCGTGATTCAGTGTGGGGTAAACAGGATTTCATTAACGTACATTTTCACCAGCCCAGTGGGTTTTTAAAAAAACACATTGTTATTGGTAAGGGGTACGATCGGTTTCTTGTTCCAGTTGTTGCTTTTCAGCTGTTAATGCCAAAGCAAATATCCATTAATTTGCTATTAGCCATTTCCGTTTTCTCCTTTAATACATTTCAACCTTCATCACCTATTCTGTTGAAAGTATTCTCCTCCCAAAAATAATAACATTTCGTGTCGTACTTATTACATGCACCCAGCGCGGCAGGTGGAACCCGCTGCTACGATCGCCTGAGAGATTTGAGATTTAGCAGACAAGGCCCGAAACCAAAAGTCTTAAGCTGACAAATATTCAAGGACACTTACATGTATGAAACTTAATATCCAAGGACATGTACATTGAAGGTCTAAAACTAACATCAATATGCATAAGTGGTATCAAAGATGTAAAATGTTGTGTCTGGTATGATGGATGCATTTACCATGAAACGATGAACATCTTTGTTCGTTGTATTTTGATTAATTTGCATATTGCGCATTGTATTTACACTAGTGTCTTCCAATTGAGTATTTTTATGATTGGAATTCTAAAAGCAGACTTGTCTTAGTTCACATATTCTAGCTGTGACATTGTTTTGCTCTCAGTATGGCTTTCCACGAACGTGTCTGTCTGCCCGTCGTCTGCCCCCCGCTCTTCGGTGTGTCTCTTTCTCTCCAAATTTCTATTTTGCAATTCAAGGAAGTTTTTTCTCCACATATTTCCCTGAAGATTTCTATTCTGAAGGTCGCTGATATTTCGTGTAGATTGATAAGGCGCTGTGGAATGTATCTCTTTCACAAGTGGGGGGATGCATCACCTACATTAATTATCCAACGTGACCGCATTCTTGCGATCTTTATATTTGACGACATGTAGTTTCCGATGGTACAGTTCTTCTTTTGCAAAAGTTCACCGTGACATTTTCCAATCAAAACTCCCACAAAATAAGGTATCATGCTTGAGTTGTGGGGATAATCATGTTATTTTGACTCTGAAATATTTTTTAAATTATTTTCTCGAAGACTGAACTGAATCTGGAGTGCAAAAGAAAGGTTGTACAAAATCCAAACTTTGTGTAAACGTAACTATAACTACAAGCAGCGACAAGCTTACATTTACAGAAGCCCTCTCAAAGCAGAAAGTTACAAATGTTATATTGTTTTATTGGAGATTGCTTATTCTCCAACGCAAAAAAAATGTCTGCTTTTTATTAGAACACTAGAAAAATAATGATCTTAAAAGCAACGAGAAGCTTATTTTAGTAGAAAAAGCAACCGACTTAATGTAAGTAGGGGTGGCAATAATGATAGAATTGCAAATCTGTGGGTTTCATAACTGATGCTTAATTTTCCAATCCAGGGCTCATCATCACATGTACAGTACCTTAACATTTAGCTCATTTATTTGAAAGAATGGCAAACTAACTCAACCTGCTGTCCATTATCATGCCTTTGTCCATGTCTCTTTATGGCCGATGATCCACCACCATTAATGTCATTTTGACAAAGTCACTACAATGAATTCCGTCTGGGCTTAGGGGCAATTAGTTTGTGATTGCTCTTTAAATTGAGTCATTCGTAATCATTAAAGACCATCAAATTTCAACCAAAAACATGAAGAGCTTTTATTAATTAAGTTGTTTACTTATGATAACAGGAGCATGGGCGGCAATCAAATCATTTTAGTAAACATGCTTGTCGATTAACTGTAGTGCGTGACCACATGACGACAGAACTACATGTACTGCGTCAGACAGTTGGGTAACGGTAGAGGTCTGGCAAGTGCTGGGGCATAAATGTCGAGCAGATTAAGCCGTGCATGCAAATGAAACCATACAGCGCTACATAACTTTCTTGGGAAGGGCAGTATCGAGGGATGCAGAAGAAGACGACATATACTTAACTGCCCATTAACCCCAAATAAATATCTGATTTTTATTAAATGCATCCTTGAATGTGCCCAGTCACCATGCTAATTCTGCAATTACAGACTAAAAGATTTCCATGTTACTTGCACCGTACTAATAATCCCTTTTATCCTGTCGTTTCAGATTCAAATAATTGCTAATTCCACAGTCAGAACGAAGAACTACGACTTAGACGTGGTTGCAATCCGTCTTGCTTGCTTGAATCAAATTCTCGACCCATGGGTATACATTTTGTTACGCAGGCGCTGCGTCAGGAAAAGCATTTCCATCATCTTGACTTTTCTTCATTTGAAACGAAAACGGCGCATAAGACGGCCACCGACCCATTTGCGGCAAGGGATAATGAAGTGTTCCTCCAACTTAACCGAGTCTCCATTCGCTCGTAAATTAAGCGGAAGTCAGGAGAGTGGATATGCGTCCTCGGACACTTCAAAAACCAAAGATACCTGTGTCAAACCATTTAAAAGACTTCTTTATGCTTCTTCCCCTGGAGACTGCAGGTTATCCTGCGTTTACGAAACTGTCCATGAAGTAAGCTCAGTCAATGACATTCCTACAAAAACTCCTGCCTGTGCCAAGATGCCTAAGCCTCTTAGCTATCCCTTTAACTTGAATGCTGTTGACAATCCCCCAAAGAAATATCGTAGAAAATACAACGACATTTTGAACTGGACCAAACAGAGAGAAACAGTGACAGATAATAACACTGATATAAAAGGTGATATTTCCTGTAATAAAACCATTAAGAAATCGTCACAGGAACACAATTGTAAAATGCGACGAGCCTCATCTTTAGTGAGTTTAGAAGAGAATGGTCCTCGTTCGAGGCCGATAAATGTACCAAAAGGCTTCACAGATGACAGTCTAAGTGGAGGCAAAAATATTGTTTCGTATTCAGATAAAAAACCAAAATTATTCCCATCAGAGGTGTCTCATTTAAATATCATGTCCATGTACACAGCACTGTAAGCCCCCCCCTCTCTCTCTCTCTCTCTGCCAATTGTGCGTCAATTTGTGATCGATTACCTACTGTACTCACTGACTTGTTGTATATTTGTATCGTAAGGACACTGTTTTTTTTTTTTTATTTTAGTTTTTTTTTTTGGGAATCCTTTTTT